TAAGGCAAGAAAGGGAAATAAAAGGGATCCAAATCAACAAAGAAGAAATAAAGCTATCTCTATTTGCAGATGATATGATCTTATACACAGAAAATCCTAGAACTCAATGAGAAATCTACTAGAACTAATAGAAAGCTTCAGCAAAGTGGCAGGGTACACAGTCAACATACAAAAATCAGTATGATACCTCTCCACTAACAAAGAGAACTCAGAAAAGGAAATAATTTTCTATAATCACCTAAGTGCCTAAGGCATTTGACTACTAACCAGAAGTCTGGTGGTTCAAACCCACAAGCCACTCGTGGGAAGGAAGGCTGGGCAATCTACTTCTGTAGTGATATCATCTTGGAAACCCAAGTAGGCTGTGACTTGATGGCAGTGAGTTTGTTTTTGTTTTTTTTTTTAAATAATCACTCAAAAGATGAAGTACTTAGGAAACAATTTAACTAGAGACACAAAAGACCTACATAAAGAAAACTATAAAACACAATTACAAGATACCACAAGTGACCTATATAAATGGAATACTATACCATGCTCATGGATACGAAGACTTAACATTGTGAAAATGTCAATACTACCCAAGTGATCTACAGATATAATGCAAATCTGATCCATATTCCACTATCTCTCCTTAAAGAGATGGAATAACTAATCACCAGCTTTATAAGGGAAGGAAGGGGACTCTGGATAGGTAAAGTACTACTAAAGAAGAATAACAAAGTAGGAGGTCTCACACTCCCTGATCTCAAAACTTACTATCCAGTCATGGTAGTTAAAATAGCCTGGTACTGGTACAATGACAGACACAGACCACTGAACAGAATTGCGAACTCAAGTAAATCCATCCACCTACTGACAACTGATCTATGACAAAGGCCCAAAATTCATTAAATAGGAAAGAAATAATCTCTTTAATAAATGGTGCTGGCAAAATTGGATACCCAGTCTGCAAAAAAATGTAAAAAGACCCATATCTCACACTATATACAAAAATGAACTCAATGTGGATCAAATACCTGAATATAAAACTGAAAACCATAAAGATATGAGAGAGAATATAGGGACAAACTTAGGGGCCCTAATTTAGGACATAAATATACTATAGCATATAACCCAAAACTCACAAACACCAGGAGACAAAACTAGATGACTGGAACTTCCTAAAAATTAGACACTTATGTGCAACAAAAGATTTCACCAAGAGTATGAAGAGAACTGAGATTAGGAAAAAAAATTTGCAACACTGTATCAGACATGGGGTAATCTCTTAAAATTAATAGAAAGCTTCAATAACTTAATAAGAAAAAGACAAATGATCCAATTTAAAAATGGAAAAGAACATAAACAGACACCTCAGCAAAGAAGATATTCAGGCAGCTAACAAACACATGAAGAAATGCTTGCGATCATTAGTCATTAGAAAGAGCCAAATCAAAACAATGAGATACCATCTCATTCATTCCACCTAGCACTAAAAGCTAAAAACAAAAAACAAAAAACCCCACAAAACAACAAATGCTGGTGAGGGTATGGAGGGAGTGGAACACTTATACACTGCCGGTGAGACTGTGATATGGTGCAACCACAGTGCAAACAGTATAGCACTTCCTTAGAAATAACGTATACCACTACTAATATATACTAAAATAACATATACCACTAACTAATATACTAATATACCAGTAATACCACTACTAGGTATATATCCTAGAGAAATAAGAGCCATGGTATGAACAGATATATGTACACCCATGTTCATCGCAGCACTATTCACAAGAGCAAAAAAGATGAAAACAACCTAAATGGCCATCAATGGAGGAATGAATCAACAAATTATGGTACATACACAGAATGGAATACGAAGCAACACTGAAGAACAATAATGAATCTGTGAAACATCTCACAACATGGATGAACTTAGAGCCCATTATACTGAGGAGCTCTGGTAGCGTAGTGCCTAAGGCACTTGACTGCTCACCAGAAGGCTGGCGGTTCAAACCCACCAGCCACTCCTCGGAAGGAAGGTTGGGCAATCCTACTTCCGTAGTGATACTGCCTCGGAAACCCAAGGAGGGGTCGCTATGAGTCGGGGCCGACTTGATGGCAAACAACAACAACAACATACTGAGTGAAGTTAGTCAATCACTAAGGGACAAATATCATATGAGATCATTACCGTAAAAAATCAAGGAAAGAGTATCATGAATTGTTCCTCTTACTTCCATGTTGATCCTGACCCTGAGTTGTAACCTGTCATATTTCCCTAATAAACAGCATAATCTTGAGTATAGTCTGTGAGTTCTGTGTGGCCATTGCAATGAATTATCAAATGCAGCAAAGAAGTAGAGTGCTGTGGGGAGGATAGCTGGTTTAAGTGGTAAAACAGTTGGGTAGGGGAAGTATGTCTGAACCAGCCTTAGGCTGATCTTGATTGTCTTCTCTCCTCTTTAAGTGACACCACCACATTATAAAAGGAATCTGAGTATTTTTGACAAAAGGAAAAGTGCATATCATGTGATTTTACTTTACATGTGAAAATAAATGTGCATATATTTTTAAAGATATTAGCATGGAAAAATTATACAAGGATAACACACACTGCCGTTGAGTCAGATCCGACTCATGGCAACCCCTCCTTGAGTTTCTGAAGTGGTATTACTACAGAAGTAGATTGCCCAACCTTCCTTCTGAGGAGTGGCTGGTGGGTTTGAACTGCCAGCCTTCTGGTTAGCAGTCAAATGCCTTA